TTACTTTATCATTACCATGATAAAATGATAATCAATATCATATTTAATAAAATTTGCAGAAATTTTGATGACGGCAGACCAAACACAAGCAGAAATTTTGTTTTGTTCTGGCTCAGCTTTATATTTTAGTAGTTAACTTTTTAAACTGGTATTACTTTAAATGTTCCATATTAAGCCAAATTACACTCTAATTTTTCTTTGGTAATTCTTTTTTTTTTTTTTTTTAATATTTTTATTTATTTCTAGGAGAGAGAGACAGTGTGAGCAAGGGAGGGTCAGAGAGAGAGGGAGACACAGACTCTGAAACAGGCTCCAGGCTCTGAGCTGGCAGTCAGCACAGAGCCCGACGCGGGGCTCGAACCCACGAACCGCGAGATCATGACCTAAGCGAAAGTCGGAAGCTTAACCGACTAAGCCACCCAGGCGCCCCAATTTCTTTGGTAATTCTTAACAAATTTCAAAACTCTTCTCAAGAATACTAACTCTTTACAAACAGAAAAGGCAAAAAACCCTGCCTATTTTCTGCTAAATTACAGTATTATGCACTCAAAGGATATTTCATTTTCTTAGGATGTATGACCCTTTCCCTCTTTCCCTTAGCATTTTTTCCCTAATTGCTAAGAGGATCCTCTCTTTCAGTGGGGGAAACTCTTTTCTCTTCATTTATTTATTTAACAGATAACAGTTTTAAATCTATCGTATCCAAATTTTCATGAAGATTATTTCTTTGTAAATTTTCAGCATGGCTGTCATCCCTCTAAAGAAAATCAGAAAAATAGGAAAGTTTTCCAAATAAAAGTGGATGTTAAATGCATGAGTCCTACATGACACTTCAACAGGTAGGGTGTCTAGTCTTGAATTGAGATATTCTAACATTTAAAACTATTTCACAAAGAAGCATGGTAAACATACAGCAAAGTGAAAAATAACATATTTTAATTAGACATAATCAGAATCATAAGCCCATAGTGCTTAATATAAGCTTAGAGGGTCAAATGATCTAACCATCTGTACCAGGTAAAATAAATACCCAGATTCAAACTTTTTCTGATGGAAACTCAGTACATTATCTTTGATCAGTTCTAATTTTTAAGAGTCTTCCTTAATAGGGGTGCCTGGGTGGCTCAGTTAGTTAGGTGCACAACTTCAGCTCAGGTCATGATCTCACAGCTCGTGAGTTCAAGCCCTGCATCAAGCTCTGTGCTGAAGCTCAGAACCTGGAGCCTGCTTCCGATTTTGTGTCTCCCTCTCGCTCTGTCCCCCACCCCCATTTGTGCTCTGTCTCTCTCTCTCTCAAAAATAAACATTAAAAAATTTTTAAAAAGTTTCCCTTAATAAAGGTAAAACTGGTCTCTATGTAACTCCCATCTTTTGGACAAAGGTTTTTCTTTTCACACAAAAGAAATCTAATCCTCCACAAAGTATAAATCCTTCCAATTATATAAAGAGATCTACCATGTCCCCCAGAATCTTCAGCAGACTTGATGTTCCCAGTTTTTATATTACGTTGTTTGGTTTCAATTCCCTAATTATTCTACCCACTTTCTTCTGAGAACATTCCAGGTTTCTTTACCAGTGTTAAAGGGGAAAGCCAAAAGGGAACATTATACACCACGAGGTCTTCCTAGGCTCTACGCTTCCATTTCTGCATTCTAAGATCATATAAGCTCTTGTGGCAGCCACATCACACTGTTAACGAAGATTAAACTTACTGTCAACCAAAACTACTATATATCTTCATACTTCTTGTTTTGTTTTCCTTTCTCACCTCCAGCTTAGGATTTTTTTTGGAAGAAGGGGACACAGGAATGCAGATTAAGTGTAGAATTACAGTTTACTATTATATTTCATCTATTTGAAATAACATAGCTTATTATCCACTAATATAGGAACTAGTGTCCAAAGTCATTTTGATTTTAAAAAGCACTTTAAGAAATAAAACAAAACTTTTATATAAAAAGAACCTCCTTTTATTTTTTATATGAAAAACACTTCCGCTTTTTCAATGATGCAGTCCAAACAAAACAAAACAAAACAAAAGAAAAAAGGGGGCACCTGGGTGGCTCAGTCAGTTAAGCGTCCGGCTTCAGCTCAGGTCATGATCTCACAGTTGTTGGGTTCAAGCCTTGCATCTGGCTCTGTGCTGACAGCCAGCTCAGAGCCTGGAGCCTGTTTCAGATTTTGTGTCTCCCTCTCTCTCTGACCCTCCCCTGCTCATGCTATCTCTCTGTCTCTCTGTCTCTCAGAAATTTAAAAAAAAACCTGAATGATGCAATCCTAAAGCTTGTAGAAATGACCACTGGGGACAGGCACCTACACAAAAATGGGATACTGGAGGCTGTTCAAAGTGAGGAGTGCATTCAAACAGAGAGTGAGGGGTGTGGAGTAGAGTGTAGCACGGAATGTCGGAGACTATGTGGAAGTGAGGAGAATTCTGAAGAAGAAAGCAGCTAGGTATGGGGTGCTAGAGCCTAAGTAGGGTGATGAAGACATCCACATCACAAGGTAGCAGCATGTAAGAGCCTGTGTCTAATGAGAAGGCATCCACGTTGTACGGCAGCCTATCACGGAGGGTTAAGCCCAAAGGGGGAAAGAGGGTATCCACACCATGCAGTGAGGTTCTGGAGCCAAGAAGGGTGAGACAGCTGGTTTGGCATGCAATGTCAAAGCTCAGGTGGACTGGGGAGAACATCTACACATGAGAGTGACTAACATAAGGTGCCAGAGCCCAGACCAGGAGAAAAAGTTAACTCCAAGTGGGGAGAAGAAGACAGAATGAAAAGGCAACAGTACAAAACAGGCTAAGAGCCTAGGGGGAGGTTCAGGGGACAATGAGAGAAATGGAAGACTGGTTACATACAAGGGGACTCAGGTATATTAAGAAAGGATAAGAAAACTAATCAGGTTCTCATTCATGAAGAAAGGGCTTATAAATACAAAGAAAAAAAAATACTAAAATAAGCCCTGTTCATTCTTGATTGGAACTGAATGTGTCCATATGAATTTATGATTTTATGTGTGTATATGTATAGACTGAGAGATAAATACAGATGTAAATATGTTTATGCATGTATACATAAACATATATGTTACATACATACATCTCCTCACTGAGAAGGCTCAAAAACGGCAACATCCTAATAGCAATTAGCACACCCGAAACAAGATCTGGTTTCTAAGTACTATTCTCCGTTAAAATACACCTGATTCCCTTGGAGAAATAGGGAACAGAATCTTGTGCCAGAACATTTAAGAAATTGCTCAAGTAATAACAGAGACTGTCAAAAAGTAATAGTCAACTGGAAGACTCTCACAGGCCAAGTCTGTATGAGGCCAAGGCAATATGAGTACTGATACAAATGATATAATAATAAATTTAAAGTAGGTGGTAAAACAGTAACCTCTGAGTCCATGCTGATACTAATCATTTTGATTACTGGGGCACCTGTGTGACTCAGTCGGTTAAGCATCCAACTTTGGCGCAGGTCATGATCTTGCAGTTTATGGGTTCAAACCCTGACTTGGACTCCATACTGACAGCTCAGATCCTGGATCCTGCTTCAGATCCTGTGTCTCCCTCTCTCTCTGCCCCTCCCCAACTCGTGCTCTGTCTCTCCCTCTCTCTCTCAAAAAAATAAACATTAAACAATAATTTTGATTATTAGTATCAATTAATATTTTTTAAAAATCAAAGAAACTAAGTGAAGAAGTTTAGTAGACACTAACTTAATCATATAATAGAAGTAAACATTATCATTAATGGGACAGTATGAAAATCATGTACCTAAGTAGTAAGATGCAATGACAAGGACATAATATCACTTCTGTGCCATTTTTCCTAAACATGTCTAACTCAAAGTTATTAATAAAGATCAAAGAAACCCAAATTGAAGGACATTCTTTAAAATAACTGGCCTAAGGGCACTGGGTTGGCTCAGTCAGTTACACATCTGACTTCCATACAGATCACGATCTCATAGTTCATGAGGTTTAAGTCCTGGATCGGGCTCTGCAATGATAAACCTGCCTGGGATTCTCTCTCTTTCTTTGTCTCTCTGCCTCTCCCCCATATACTCTCTTTCTCAAAATAAATATATAAGGAGTTTTAGCAAAGTATCTGATATTTTTAGTCTTTTAAAAAAATATTAGGTACTGTTTTTATTTCTGGCATATATACATTTAGTACACAAGGGCAGGAGTTGGCGTACTACAGCCCAGTGGGGGACTCTGCCCTCCATCTACTTTTTAAAAATGAGTTTAGAATAGCTAAACTCGCCAGTACGCACTGCCTGTGGCTGCTTTCATGCTGTAATGGCCTGAGTAGTTGCAACAAAGACCCGACAGCCCAGAAGGCCTAAAATACTTATTATCTGGCTTCTTCATAAGAAACTTGCTGCTCTGTACCCTCGGTGAGAAAAACAAACTAAAAACACAATGCCAAAAAATGTTATAACGGATGATATAAATGGAGAAAGATAACCAAGTTACTGGTTTCCATCTATCTCAATAAATTCAAAGCAATTGAAAAACACATGGTTATTTTCCTTTCCCCAAAAAAGTAAACAATTCAAAACTGAAAATGTCCTTAGAGGTTCTAAGTTAAAACATTTTTTTCCAGATGGAAATACAAACCTGAAAATTATGTGAATAGTCTACACCTAAAGAACTTACTATTATCACGCCGGGTGTATTCACTGTCATGAATTAAGGCATTGTATTAGGTCATAACCAAAGCTTTATTTTTCCAAAATAAATCACATTGAGAAGTATATTTAAGAAATCTCCATGTAAAAGGACCTGTGTAAAGTACTATAAAGAATTTACAAAAGCAAGACAGAGTAAACTTAAAACACAATCTAAATAAGCAGAAAAATAATCTCAAGTTTCATAAAAACAAGTTAAGTGCTTGTTAATTTCTATATTTCTTTCATTTTATGTAAATAAGATAGATTACTTTGTCCACTTAGCCTACTCAAATCGAAAAATCAAAAATGTTTTACCTGAATTGGATGTTTACTAAATGAGGCTGGGAGCCATCTGATTGCCAGTAAGTTTCGAGATTGTCATCTCGTAACTGATCCACTCCAAATCCTAAAACACAAGTGACGGTAAGTTCTCATGAAAAAGAAAGAGCTATATATTTAAAATATAAAATTACCATATATATTTGTTCAGAAATTTTGATAAAGTGGATGGTCAATACTTTAAACTTTCAATTAGAATTCGTCCATCTTCTTAACCAGATCTCAACTCTTAGAATATCATTTGCACACACAAAAGGTGACATTAGGGCCAACTGTTCTTGGTTGTTGGCTTTAATTTTTAAAGGATATATTCTAAAGACAGCGTGTCTTCAAATCCAGTTTTTTATACTTTCTACAAGGTGGTAATAAGAATGATCCTCATGTCCTACAAAATCAAAATTTATTAAGTTCAAGATGCCATACATCTTTCTTGTGACAAAAAAAAAAGGACATCTTAGAAATATTTTCAAAAGTTGCATACATTTTGAAACCAAGTGTTTCAACAATCAACATTCTGATTAGTCAAAAATTAAATTTGCCCAGAATTGCATATCTAGCTATTCTAGATAACTGAAATAAAAATATACTGTACGGTTTTGATTAAAATCATAATAATGCATACTAATTATATAAAGAATTTCATTGTAAAGTGTGGATTTTTCAAAGATATTTAAGAGAAATAGACTTAGGGGCGCCTGGGTGGCTTAGTCGGTTGGGCGTCCGACTTTCGCTTAGGTCGTGATCTCGCGGTTCGTGGGTTCGGGCCCCGCGTCGGGCTCTGTGCTGACTGCCGGCTCAGAGTCTGGAGCCTGTTTCAGTCTGTGACTCCCTCTCTCTCTGACCCTCCCCTGCTCACGCTGTCTCTCTCTCTCTCCTAGAAATANAAAAAAAAAAAAAAAAAAAAAAGAGAAATAGACTTAATTTACATTTTAATGTTTGACTAAGTAGTATATTCATTTTGGATCAAATTCAAAAGGTATAAAAAAGAACATGGTGGAAAGTCTCTATCCTCTCTCCCACCATCGAGTTTCCCTCCAAATATAATCAATGTTATCAACTTTTTACATATTCTTTCATACATACTATACACATATACAAACAAACATATAATTCTTTTTCTGCTCTACACAAATAATGGCATGTGATACATAGTTCTACACTTTGTTTTTCTTTTCCACTTATCTGAGAGATTCTTCTATATAAATAATAATTAATAATAGTCACAAAAACAACAATAATAGCAGCAAATACTGGTATCACATTTACTATGTGCCAGGCACATTCTAAAAAATGCAATATGTAAAGAATGCATGTAATATTTAACTCATATAATAACTCAGTTAATCTAAACAGCTCCCACATATTTTAAAGGTTATACAATATCTCACTGTCTAGAAATATAGTAATTGTTTAACCAAACCTACACAGGCTGTTTCCAATATTTTCCTGTTACAAACAACACTGCAGTAAACATCTACCTATCTAAAATTTTCAAATACATATTAGTATTTCTGGAGGATAGATTTCTAGGAATAGAACCCTGAGTCATTTGAATTTTTAATTTGATAAATATTGCCAATTTCTTCTCCAAAATGAATTCTCACCAATAACGTACAAGAATATATATTCCTTTATGTAACCAGTAAAAATTGTGATATTCTGAAATCTTTACACTAGATTTTGAAGACTTTGTATAAAAACATTAAATATTTAATAAGTTTTTATATACTGATTATATATTGAAGTCATTTTGGATATATAGAGACAAAATAAATTATGAAAACTGTACCTTTTTAACTTTTAATAGGTGTACTAGATATTTAAATTACATAAAGTGTTTGAATTATATTTCTGTTGGACAGCACTTCTCTGTATTCACGCTAAAATGAAATTATTCTTTTAAGTATTTACTAACCCGATAGGTGAAAATTTATATTTCAAACTTTCATTGATCATTTATATTTCTTCTTATAGAAAGTACCTATTCATTTTTTTCTTTTTTTTAATATTTTTGTTTTTGAGAGAGAGAAAGAGAGACAGAGCACAAGTGAGGGAAGGGCAGAGAGAGAGGGAGACACAGAATCTGAAGCAGGCTCTGAGCCATCAGCACAGAGCCCGATGCAGGGCTGGAACCAACAAACCGTGAGATCATGACCTGAGCTGAAGTCGGATGCTTAACCTACTGAGCCAGCCAGGTGCCCCAGAAAGTACCTATTCACAACCTCCTATATTTTCATTGCACTTTGCTCTTTTTATTGATTTATAACTCTTTTACTATTATGGATATTAACCCTATATCTGTTCCATGTGATCCAAATACGCTCTGCCTAGTCTGAGATTTGTATCTTAAATCTTCATATGCTGCCTTTATAGTATATACTAGTGAATGAGAGGTTCTTCCAGAAAAAATAACGTTTGCATTGAATTCTGAAATAAAAAGAGTTAGCTAGGTAAAGAGGTAGAAGGGCAAGGTTAAAGACCATTCAGTAAAAAGAAAAAAACACGTAATGGCATGGAAAAGGAAAAGTGGAATCTATAGGAAACAAAGGTAGCTTTGGGGAGCTAAGGCTACACACTGAGTTGCATCAAGAAATGAACCTAAGTCAGATCATATAGACTCTTATGCACTAAGATATGGAGTATAAATTATCTTGAAAAATATGCCAACCTACTGATGAATTTTTATTAGGTAAGTTATATGATCAGGAAATAATCAGATCAGGATCTTCAGATAGATTCTTCATTGTCAGGGAGGGAGAAAGCCATTCTAAGTAATCCAAATTCCAAGTGGTGATAGTCTGAATTCAGACAGTGACCAAGATAAATGTTAAAAAATGGCTTTCTATTGCACCAAAGAAATCTTCTTAAAATATAAAAACTGGGTTCTCCATTACTCACTGTGTAACTCTTAGATCTGTGCTGTGCAATATGGTGGCCATGGGACTACTGAAGAAATAGGGCTAGTTCAACTTGAGATTTGCTATAAGTGCAAAATACACATTAGTATGAAATCCAGACTGTCTCGTTAATAATAAGTCATATTGTATTAAAACATATTATTACAATTAGTTGCATCCATTTCTTTATCCTTTTTAACGTAGGTATACTAGAAAAATTTAAGTTACACATGCAACTTGCATTATATGTCTATTGGACCATACTGCCTTAGAACGTGCTTCTATTCTTTCTTTATATGTTACTTATAAGCCTAATCCAGAATATTCAGTACTCCAAGTTATAAGATAAATTATAATATAAAAAGTTGTTTTGCTACTTTTTGTGAAGAGTTCTTAAGTTTTAAGTCCCTTTTTTTTCTTGCCAGTTTATGAATTCCCTAAGAGGAGAATTCAATTACATGACTCTTCCTTAAGAGCTCCACTGATAAATATTCTATTAATGAAAAGACCTTTCGCCACATTTTATTTTAGCTATTTGGCTAGTTTTTTTCTCTTTCATTTCACAATTTTACAAGTGTGTACTCAAAGAATTTCATAAAACGGTGTTTTTTCTTAACAAGTAAAATAAACATTAAACAAAAAACCTGAATAACTTATCCAGAGTAAGAGCTGTCCTGTAACTCAAGACTCATTATTTCAAGTTTCTTTCTAATTGATATTGTTCATGAAACTCTAACAGTCCAACTAAGTAGGTACAATCTCATCAAGAATTAATCAGTCTAAATCTTTACCTCTGGAATACTAAGTATGATTATCACCTTCTAGTTCTTCAAAATATGTCTCACAAACAGAACATCTTACAAGCATCTATTTATGTGCCAGTGCCATAACTCATTCAGTAAATGTCTTTTCCAAAGCTTCCCATTCAGTGTTATATCTGAATTCTTTTAGTACAAACAAAAGAACCAGAAGACAGACCTGTGATAACCGCTTTGATAGGTATCATGATAACACACTGAAACGATATTATCCAGAAAAAAAACTTTCATACGATGCACTGACTCTTAAGGCAGTAGTTCTCACAATATGGTCCCTGGACCAGCAACATTACTGCCATGTGGGAACTTACTAGGAATTCTAAACCTACTGTATCAGAAACTTCCAGCGTTAACACATTTAAGAATCTGTATTTAAGGGGTGCCTGGGTGGCTCAGGCAGTTAAGCGTCAGACTTTGGCTCAGGTCATGATCTCATGGTCTGGGGGTTCGAGCCCTGCATCAGATTCTGTGCTGACTGCCAGCTCAGAGCCTGGACCCTGTGTCAGATTCTGTATCTCCCTCTCTCTCTGACCCTCCCCTGCTCACACTGTCTCTCTCTCTCTCTCTCCGAAATAAATTTTTTGAAAAAAAATTTAAAAAAATAAAATGTTTTTAAAGAATCTGAGAGGGAGACACAGAATCTGAAGCAGGATCCAGGCGCTGAGCTGTCAGCACAGAGCCCAACATGGGGCTCAAACTCACGAACCACAAGATCAAGACCTGAGCCGAAGTCCGACGCTTAACTGACCGAGTCACCCAGGCACCCCAACCCTGTGATTCTGATGCCTGCTAAAATTTTAGAACTTTTACGGCAAGTCTTCTCAACCTGGGCACTACTGGTAGTGTGCACTGAATAATTCTTTCAGGAGCAAGGGCTATCCTGTGCATTATAAAGTATTTAGCAGCATCTCTGGCCTCTATCTACTAGTTGTCAGTCACAATCTTCCCCCACTTCTCCAGCAGTTTTATCAAGCAAAAAACATCTGCAAATATTTCCAAATATTCCCTAGGGGGCAAAATCATTCCCCAGGTGAGAACCACTGCTCTAAGGAAAAGAAAACCAGCATTCACCTGTGGTTACTGTTGTTGGTGAGTAAATGTCTACTCTTCTCTACCCGTCCTCCATGGGAACAAAATGATTCTGCACTCCAGTCATACTGGAGCTTAATTATGACTTGTTTTGGTCAACACAATGTAAATGAATGTGACACAAGCAGAGGTTTGAAATATGCTTGCAAGGTACAACTTGGCCTTCTAAATGTTGGCACCCCACTAAGACATTGTGCCTGAACACACGGAGCAGGACTGGACCCAAGTCAAAGCCAAGCAAGAAATAAATTTTGTTGTTATGC